AAAGTAACAATAAGGCCAAGGAAGTGTGATATGAATGCAAGAAATGATTAAGAATTCTTCCCAGTATTATCTTCCAAGGGAATGAATCGGAAAACCTAAGAGAGATGTTCAGATCAAAACATGCAAAACCGAATTAAAATGAGATTAAACTGTCCAAGAGAATTAAGAAGAAATATTCATAAATGGTTAATGCCTTTCAAAAGTTTGTAACATCAAGCAGAGGTATGTTTTATGTGGAATTTCTCTATGATTAATTTATTTACATGAAGAAATAATGGGAAACATTTTTTCTGTTATAAACATCAGAATTAGAAAATAAAAAAAGCGCTTACTCCATGATGAGTATTGGAGTGACAGAAATAATTCAAATTTTTATTTTATATTTTCCAAGCATGTCTTGTGACTATTATGACATAGTGTGTTTACTGTAGTTGTTGTTGTATTATAACATCAATTGGTGTTTGTTGCTTTTAAGGGAATTTTTATCCTCCAAAGTAATTAGATTCTACTTACAACATGAATGTTGGGTTATGTAGCATTTACTTGCATGGTTCTGATGCATATTGAAAAAAAAGTTTAAATATTAAGACAAAAAAGAGGCCAGTGTTATATAAAATATGTGACGTGTTTGCAAGAATTCAAGCAGAAATGTTTAGCAATATTCTCCATTTTATTATTAAATTATACATCTATACAGTAGATCCTTATTAAAACTGCAGCTATACAAATCATTAAGAAGTGACCACATGTATTACCCTTTGCAATATAACCTAAATACTCAGAGGTATGTATTCATTCACTGTTACAGGAAATCTGCACACTATCACATCTTTGAGGGATACTTGTGGGACATGCACAGGGAGGTCCAGTGGCTGCAGATTAATCATGCTTGTCTTGTTTACCTCAAACCCCTATTACTTCATCTTCAGCCATTGTGGAGCTCCAGTCTATCAGTGCATTGATTGGTCCAAAAACTGGAATCAAAGGGACACATCTTCTCAATGTTAATAATCCCAAGAAGATTATTTTAAATGACTTAAATATGCTGAAATAACAGAAATCACAGCATTTTTGTCAACTTGTAAATTTAGCTTTTCTTTGGGATTAACTGTTGTCTTGCCTTGTGAGCTGAAAGCATAGCTGATGATGACAGAGATGGTGTGGTAATCCGAGAGGCCAGACAAGCGGATAAATAAAACTGGGTAGAATAATTTCCCCTTGTATCACCTTCAGCTCCTTTCCTCCCAAACCCATCAATCTATAAAAAGCTAAGAAGGTTTAATTGTGTCCTGTGCGTCAGCAGTTCAAGTGCAGTTTTATTTTAGTTTTTGTGCACACACTCTACCAGCGTAGCGTCTAGAATAAAAGGATTCTGCTCGAGATCCATTGGAAAAACAGAAACATCATCCAGCTCAGTGTAGGTCAATCAGGGCATGGGTAAACTCAGTCAAGTGGCAGATTGGCTTTTTGCAAGGTGCAGAAAGCTCTAGCATTGCTGATTTGTGTTGAGAAGTAAAAGACAAATTAAACCTGTGCGCAGCCAGACAGTCACAGAAAAACTGCAGTGGGTCAACTCCCCCGAATGCAAGTCATTACAAAACTTGGATTTTTTTTATTTTGCTTCTAGTTATTCTAAATTCTGACCATTTGTCTCAGTCAAAGCCTCCAGTAAAAGTCATCCTACACAACATCCACCATATTTAGAGAATAGAAGAGGCTCCCGCCGGCCTGCAGAGATTATCAATTGTTCAGTGCGAATCACAATCAATATAGCACAACCTCACATATATGTTTTCTTGCAGCAATGTTAAACGCTCAGTTTTACTATCCCTGTCCTACACTTCCTGCAGACGAGCCTTAAAATTTGCAGAGAATAATGAAGCCTCATATATCAAACATCCCTGTACAGTCTGGAAACTGTGCTGGTTTCAGGCATATATCAGGACTCATGTGTTCCACTGAGCATGGAAGTGTGCTCATTTAAAAGAGCTCCTGACAACAGGTAGGCAGCTAATTACAATAAGATGTATGATGTCAGCTGCACCCTTTCATCACGCCTTGGTTCTTTGCTTGTTCTATTTTTTATTTTGCACTACTTTCTTTTAGTTCAGGAGTTTTGTGACATTTCGCTGAGATGATACTGATATCAGGGAATACCTTCTGAATCAAAGATGTATTCAGTCACAAATTATGGTAGGTGCTTTCAAAAAAAAAAAAAACTGCTAACTGACAGGTTTCTCTTTTGAACTGTTCCTAGAGCGTCCCACTGTGTACAATGTCTTGTCATTTGAGTACCTGACCACTCTGTGTAATATGAATGTAAAGTTCAGAACTTTTATTTCTGCTAATAATCCTCAAAAGGCCACCAGCATGCTTACTGCCTCTGGATGGGATTACTAAACCTAATTCTGTTCCAGGTACTGCTACCCAAACTGCTCCATCTACACACTCGACTGCTACATGAACCTGAGGAAAGGTTTCATCACTATTCTCACTCCCTGTCCAGCTCAGGACTAATTGCAAGCCTTGTTTTAATGTCCGCCTTTGTGACAGCTCAGCACGCCACCTGAAGGTCAGAGAGAGCGGCTTCAGGGCTGCTGACAGGTGCTGCATCTCTGCTGTTAGACCTGCTGCTTTTCTACACTCTCCAGCCCACAGTCGTAGGTCATTAGGTCAGCAGCTTTACCAGTCACATCTAGGTATGCATCCTGAACCCATCAGAACACTATGGAAAACTACAACATCTTATATTTCTAATAGCATTTTAGTTTCCATATATCATGTGCAACCCTTTAACATTTGCAGTGAAATGAAATATAAAACTATTAGATTACCTTATTTTCCGGACTATAGTACGGTGGCCCTGAAGTGCAAACTGCAACTACAAGTCTAAAAGCGCAACTACATTAAGGAAAACGCAACTACATAAAGCAAAGCGCAACTACATTAGGAAAAACAAAACTACATAAAGCAAAGCGCAACTACATAAAGGAAAACACAATTACATTAACCTATCGGAAAAGGTAGGTACCAGTGGGATACATGAGACATCGCTGATTGGACGACGGGGCCGTTTGACCCTTGAACCGGAAGTCATTCTGCCTGCCGCGGCTTTTGAAAACATGGATATTGTCGGCGCCCCAAACATAGCTGCCGTTATCCAGGAATATTTTGAATCAGGACATACGTATGAGGTGATACTGGATATGCTCAAGACTAATCACGAAATTTCAGTTAGTTTGCGTACACTGAAGACACACTTAAAAGAAGCTGGACTGTTCAGACGACGCAACTTCCGGTTAAAGGGTCAAACGGCGCCATTGTCCAATCAGCGATGTCTCATGTTTCCCACTGGTACCTACCTTTTCCGGTAGGTTAATGTAATTGTGTTTTCCTTAATGTAGTTGCGCTTTGCTTTATGTAGTTTTGTTCTTCTTAATATAGTTGCGCTTTGCCTAATGTATTTTTGTTCTTCTTAATGTAGTTGCGCTTTGCATTATGCGGTTGCGATTTCCTTAATGTAGTTGCGCTTTTAGATTTGTAGTTGCAGTTTACACTTCAGGGCCACCGTACTATAGAGCACACCTCACTTTAAGCCCCACCCACTAAGTTTTTGTAAAAAATGTGATAGGTATATATATATATATATATATATATATATATATATATATATATATATATATATATATATATTTATATATATAAGCCACTGATATCTACTAACCCTGAGTAGGGACAAAGAACAATGCTAGTTCCCGTTAGCTTGTTGGCTTGTGGCAGTAAGAGCTTCTATTGAAAGATGGGGCTTCGTTGGCTCTTTATTTCAGCTCTGCAGGAGTTGAGCCCAGTCTTTCCATAGAGTCGGCAGCTTTAATGTGACAAATAAATGGCAAAATGGGTGAATTTGGGACATTTGTTTCCCGTCCTGCCTGCTGCTAGCATGTTCTTGTGCTAAATGAAAATTAGCCCCTTATTCTTTAATTTCTAACTTTGACCCTTCCCTTGGCGGTTAGGAAAAATTCACAGAAAAGCCGCACCTTCTTGTAGTGGCTTACAGTCCGGAAAATACGGTAATTATTTGATTTAAATGAGTAGTTATTATTTTACTTTGAAATCACTTGCCAGTAATTTTACTATTTATTGACAGAAACTGTTTATTATGTACTTAAAAATAAAAAGATTATGAAAATATCACTTAAAGAAAAGTTACTTCTACTTTGGGATACATCATCATTAAACTGAGTCCTGTAGCTTTTTATTTCAGTATTATCTTCTTCACCTGAGTCAGTTGTAGAAAACCACAAGATTCAAAACATTTGGTTTAACTCCCTGCTTATCCTCTTCTGATTCTAATCTACTCTGCATTCCTACAACCAGACCTGAGCATGGAGAAACAGCTTTTACTTCTTAAGCTCCACTAATCTGAATAAAGCACTCATTAATTGCTTTAGTTAAAATGAAAAATGTGTTTTAGCTTGTCCTTTGATTGTGAAATCTTAATATCAGTTAAGTTTGAAGTCCAAGTTTCTTTTTCTTATCAGTCATTTCATCATAATTTTCTAAATAATCTTCTTATCAACTTAACTATTTACTTTTATTGTCTTCATTTGTTTGTGTTCAGTATTTATATATTTATTATAAATTTATTATATCTATACTGTAACTATAATAATTATTTTCCTTTTTTCATAAACAGCACTTGTTTTGCTACTGAAATATGTGATATAGATAAACTTTGCCACTGTAAAATCTAAACAAATAAAACGATATTACTTATCTTTGAAGTAATCTTTTTAAAACATTTCTCATGTTAATAAAATAATGTTCTTATACGTTGACTTAAAGTCAAAAGGGTGAAAGATACTTTATATATATTTTTTTTTTTTAATTAGAAACAGATTTCCTCATCCACTGATGGGTTTAAGTTGGTCCCATATATCTTCTTATGAAAGGTGCCATTAGATACATTTTCTTTTTTTTTTTTATAAAGAAAAATTAGAGAGGGAGGATGTCTATTTATTGATTATTCATTAGAAGTAATTCCACTAAACCCTGCATGTTTCCACTCCTCCGCCCATATTTTAAGCTCTTTGTGAGTTTGATGAATGAGGCTTCAAGTCTCCATCTATTTGCAGAGTCTGGACTTCTGTGCTTTGTTAGCATCTGGCTGCTTCATGTGATGAAATGGAAAACACCTCAGGAACAAAAACAGGCTCCCTTTGCTTCGGTTCAGGAAGCAGAGGTTGGTTACGGCTGGGAGACTCAGCTTTTGCGGTGTCGGTCACTCCAGCGAATGACAAAAAGTTCATGTTTGATGCAAATGTGACTGCATTGGCGCATATCAATGAAAAATCTTGTAAAATGTTGAAAAACAAAAGCATAATGCAAATTAGGCACTCATACCGTTTAGGCAGTTTAGTCGCCATTTTTTCTACAACATTCATCACCACTGGAATAGGGAAAAACAATTACAGCAGCGAATGCACGCATATCTTACAGGCCTGGTCTCCAACTTCTCATCTACATGTACAGCCCAGTGCATCCCACAGCTCAGGGCGGATGGGGGGTGGCGGGGTTGGACCGTTTGTTGTGTTGTGTTCATATAGGATAGACAGCAGCTTCTGCTCCCTGTGTTCACGCCGTCCTTCAGTCAGCCCCCTGAAGGACATTCATCTTATGCTTTACACAGTTTCAATGACAGAAAGCACAGCAGCTTGATTCTGACAATTTCACCAACATCAAAAACACTAACAGCTGCAGAGATTCAGCCACTAGCTTGTACAGGAGCGTTGAGAGGGCGGATTGAGGCTGCAGGTGTTTGCAGTGTTCCTGGGAGCTTCCAGGGCACTGGGGTGTGTCGTCGCTGCAGCAGTGTGTCCACCTGTGAAGTCCTTTGTCAGAAAGAGGTAAGTTTGTGGCACAGGCTGCTTGCTGAGCTCAGATGTAGTACTCCTTCACATTGTCCCTGACAGAGTTTTGGAGATGGAGCTCAGTCCTGTAGTCTGTGTACGTGCTGTGTCTGTGCTCCTCTTTCATGCTGCTGCTCCTCTTCGCCCGGCGCTGCTGATAGAGGAGGCGGCTTATCACAGCCAGAGCGCACACGGCAATGAAGACTACCGCTGTGACCACACCTGAGAACACAGCAGGGAGGAAAAATTAGAGGATTATGACAGGGGGGTTGAAAGTCATGCCTGGAGGCAGGAAGAGATTCACCTTCCAGTACAAAAACATGCTGGCACTCAAAAAACAGCAGCAGCATTCCCATGTTCAGTGGCGAACACGGATCAGTAAATCATTCATAAAGAAGCCACCTGCATCCCTCAAACTGTGGCTGCTTATCAACAAAAGTGTGCGCCTTTGTTTTCCGTTTGATCTGTTTGCCAGATTCAATAAAAGAGACTCAGATATGCGCTGCTCTGTGTTAAGGTTCTGTTTTTATCAAGCAGAATTAGATGCATGTGAAATGCCAATGAGGGGAAGTTTGATCATCTGTGTTCTGTTGTACTTTAAACATTTTGGAACATTTTCTCTTCCAAACTCCAAGCCCATTCAAACAAAACAAAGCATATTTTATTTATCAAAGGGATTTTTGGTCTTTTTTGTTGATGAGGGATGTATGAAGTGCCGTGAAGTCTGTGGCCTGCAGCTGTCTGGTCCTAAGCCAAAACTAACCGCTATTCAGACCGCTTATCCCTTCATCTTTTTTAAATGGATGGAAACAATCTCAGATCTATAAATGCAAAACCGCCTCCGTCTCAAAATGCAAAAGCCAAAGTATATTCAATGATTTAATTTTCTAAAATATATCGCTTAATATTGTATTCAGAGGTTTGGAGGAAATCCTCCAGAACCCATGGAACCAATATATATATACTCCCTTTAGAGGACAGCACAAACAGGCTACTGCAGGCACTATTTAATGAAGATGCCAGTTGGGGACCTGTGAGGCGTCTGTTTCTCAAACTAGAGACTCTAATGTAAGTATCTTCTTGCTCAGTTGTGCAACGCGGCCTCCCACTTCTTTTTCTACTATGGTTAGAGCCTGTTTGTGCTGTCCTCTGAAGGGAGCAGTACACACCGTTGTAGGAAATCTTCAATTTCTTAGCAATTTCTCGCATGGATTAGCCTTCATTTCTAAGAACAAGAATAGACTGTCGAGTTTCAGATGAAAGTTCTCTTTTTTCGGCCATTTTAAGCGTTTACTTGACCCCACAAATGTGATGCTCCAGACACTCAATCTGCTCAAAGGAAGGTCCGTTTTCTAGCTTCTGTAACAAGCTAAACTGTTTTCAGATGTGTAAACATGGTTGCACAAGGGTTTTCTAATCATCAATTAGCCTTCTGAGCCAATGAGCAAAGACAATGTACTATTAGAACACTGGGGTTATAGTTGCTGGAAATGAGCCTCTATACACCTGTGTAGATATTGCACCAAAAACCCGACATTTGCAGCTAGACTAGTCATTTACCACATTAGCAATGTATATATCTTTAAAGTTAAGACTAGTTTAAAGTTATATTCATTGAAAGGTACAGTCCTTTTCCTTAAAAAATAAAGACATTTCAATGTGACCCCAAACTTTTAAACGGTACTATATATATATATATATATATATATATATATATTAGTGCTGTCAAGCTATTAAAAATTTTAATCGCGATTAATCGCATAATATCAACAGTTAACTCAGGATTAATCGCAAATTAATCGCATATTTTATTTGGGCATTTTAAAAATGCAAATGTGCAATAATGTAAAAAAAAAACGTGCTTAAACAATAAGTTTTTTTAATTATTTTTTTTTTAAAGCACTTTTAAAAAACTAGAATAAAAATATCCTGGTTTAAATTCCGGCCAATAATTATTCAAAATTTGTAAAAAAAAATTACAAAACTACAGAACAGTAAACAGTACTTCAAAGAACTCCATAAAATTAAGTTTTTTCTCAAACATAGGACAAAAATAAAGATGTAGTGTTAAAATAAAGTGCACATTCCGTTATGAAATTCAGACTTAATTCAAATAAAATGAAGTTACTCACAAAATAATAAATAAATCAAACAAATTTACAATAACTGGGCTTTGCAGTCATCTCAACAACATAACATTTTACATGTAGAACATGTAACATCAAAATGCTTTAATATTCCTTTGGTCTGAACAGGAATTGCAGCAGCAGTGCATTCCACATGACTTAATTTATTTCTTTGTCTTGTTGGCGCTAAGCCAATGAGACGCTCGTTTCTTCTGGACAACATAGACATAGGACTCAGGTTTTGTCAAGACAGCCTTCTGGGATAACATTAAAATGAAACTTATCATTCAGGATACCTTGTCTGCTGGCCATTTTTGCTCATTCAAAGCACGGGTCTGTTATGCTGCGGTCTCTCCCAAAACTTAGCGTTCCTGAAGCTACGGAAAGCGCCGAGGGTAAAACAAACAGTACAGCGAGCGCTGTGGAAAAATAAAGAACAAAAGCGCACGGTGCGTTTGCTTTGATGCGCGATTAACGTGCTTTAAAAAAAATGTCGCCGTTATACTCTAAAGCAGTTAACGAGTTAATAACGCTTTAAAACCGACAGCCCTAATATATATATATATATATATATATATATATATATATATATATATATATATATATATATATATATATACATATATATATATATATATATATATATATGCAACTATTTGCATCCTCTTCACCAGTCTGTTAAACGGCAACAAAATCTGTTTACGGTTATCATTAACATCTAAAAACACTTGCAGTGAAAAAATTTGCAGTGATTTCTGTGCTGACTACAAACCAGTCAACAGAACATTCTGCATAATTTTGAAGCTCTTCATAACATTATTTTAACCACTACATCTTTAACGGTTGTTATTTAACCAAACTAGTCCATCTGTATTTGGCTGTTATTGTGAATAGTTTAAATGGCCACAACAAATCCACTTGAAACTCATGAAAAAGCATAAATGAAATCAGCTGCTGTTTCTTAACCACTTGGAGGGGTCTGACCCGCTGTTGCTGACAGTTGCCTTAACCACCTTTCCACTAGTACAGAGTTAAATGGATTCACTATAAATCAAAGTTTTTTCTGCAGTAATTGTTACGTGGATCCATTACTACTTTCAGAGGATGCTAACTTCTGGTTCCAGCCATTCCAAGACTACCAAGGTCACCTTGCTATTAAAGATCCCCCCACTGAAATACTACTTCTAATGGGAGATGAATGAATCTAAATGGAACTGTGTCAACCTGAATAGATGAGTTACAGATGGAAAAGAGGCCTTATTGTGGCGGTATGATTCTGTAGATTCGGAGGCACTACAACGTGACAACGGTTCAGAAAGGTTTAATTCTTCACAGAGGAAGATTTTATTCTGATACTGCTACAAAATGGAGATGAACTTATTTAGAACTTATTTGACTTTAGGTTTGAATCCTAAAATGAGAAAAAAGAAAAAGAGGAAAGAAGGTTAAGGACTGACATGTTTATTTATGTGTTTATTATTTCTAAAACAATAGCCCGATGCTACAATACAGTGAAGGACAGAATTCAGAATAAATAAATAAATAATAACTGGAACGGCAGAGATGTTAGTCTATAAACAGTACTTTATGTAACGAGGAAGCTGGAATATGAAAAAATAATGTACTGCAAAAAATGTAAACCGACATAAGTAAATCTTTATTAAATCAAGTGCATTTGTTCTTGAATTGAGCAGGTAAGTGAGACACTGCCAATGGAATTAGAGAATTTACATTTAAAATAAGAAAAAAACGGCAGTCTCCTTTTTCAAGTGAATCTCATTATCTTTTTTTAAGGCTAAAGACACTCATTCCATTGGCAGATCGTCCCATTTACCCACTCAAATAAAGGGTAACAACTTATTTGAAGGATTTTAGGATCGTTTTTGCAGTGTGTTGCATTTCTTCTGCCCTTGCTGTCAGGATGGTGTTAACACTGGGGAGTTTGAACTCATCAACAAGCATGCTCACAACATGGCAAAACATCTTTATGCCAAAAATACAACGCCCAGTTGTTTTATTGTGTAACCTGACCTGGAAATGAACACTGAATAGATATGGTCTGAATTCTTTTTCTGCATCAGTGAATAAATTACAGTTGATCCTTAAACAGTCAGCATCCCTCAACTACTCACATTTTAATGTTTTTATAACTCGACTCTAAATAGAAAAAAATGATCATATGCAGCTTTAATGTAGCAGCCACTTTGTTGCTCCCTGAACTCTGCTCAGTTAGCATAGTTTACTGCAGGTGTTGGTACATGGAGCTCTCACACCCCTCTGAGATAATTTAACCACAACAGAATGCTGGCAACAGCCAGCTTAGAGTCTGAACAGTTATTTTATTCTTACACATAAAAGAGAACTATGGAGAGTATGAATAACTATAAAAAAATGACTGCTTTTGCGTTCAAGAGGTAAAAACAGTAACACAATATTAACACATTCAGGTAGAGCTCCTGTTTGTTGAAGTTCGCACATAAAGCATACTAAAATAAAGCCTGAACTTCATCAAATTAAAGCTTTTTCTTATCCTTAATTTAAATTGAACATAAGAAATGATTGGGAAACATCTCATTTTCTTTCTGGGCATGAGTTCAGTGAGCAGGTTAGTAACACTTTTGTCTCTTTGGTAAACAGAAGCAGATTGGTAACATGAACTTGCAGCTTGTTGCCTGGAAACGGATGTGGTGCTCTGGTGAAGAAAAGAAACTTGAATTTAACACCACAAAAAAAAAAAGAAAAAGAAAATTAAACATGAGCTACATGTTTTGGAATCAGGTGAATATTCTTGTTGTCCACCTTCAACCTCCTGACACGGTCCATCGTTAATTTATGACAAGCACATTTTCTGAAATGATGTTCCATCTCGATGGCAAGTAGAGACGCTAAGGAAGAGAAGTTATATGCAGCTTTAAAGCAGTCCGTGCTGAACAGCTGAAAACTGGCATGCAGGGCTCCTGAGAAAGGGCATAGATGAACAGGGGGAAAAAGCTTCCTTTGTCTTCGGCAAAGCAATTTTCTTTGAGCTTTTCTGAAAAGGTTATAAGGCCAAGGAGAGATGAGTGAAGCATCCATAAGCTCTCCACAGAGCAACAA